TGCATTCTGTATTAATTCCAGCATACTTGCAGTTGCCATATCTTGAAAATAAAGCAGTTAATGAAATAGTCAAAAAAAGTGAAAGTGGCGACTCTAGTGTTGATATTGCAAATACTGTTTTTTAAAATATACTGGATATACCCATCACTAATCAGTATGGAATAGTCCCAATGATGAAATACATATATGGTCTGTAATCGTTTTATTAGTTGAATCCCTCAATTAGTTGTAACAAATGATTTTAATAAAAAAAAAACTCTAGAAAAGATCACATTTGTGTTTATTTCCATATTTTACACTTCTGTTTTCAAATGTTATTAGTCACCACTGACTAAAAGCAACTATAATAATTCAACCACTTATTTGTACATACATGTAAGATTGAAGTAATGGATAGAATTACATGATACTTGCCTATCATAGTAGTCTGTTCACTGCCTTTAAATACAATCTTCAATGAATTGGGTGCATACACTATATTCTGTATGTACTCTATGTACTTCAATAAAGCTGCTGTTGTCGCTAGACAGTAATATCTATTGCAAGAGTTAAACAAGTTGATGAAATAGAATGTCATAATTCAGTTGTTACTCGGATATACATCACTCCAACTGACCATTTTAAGTATTGAGAATCCTGTTTTTCAGGATTATGTAGAGTTAAGTTCTTTTTCAGAATATGTAAAAACGCTGACTGCTCATTTTCATAGATTTACAGTTTTAATGTTAATTTAAATATATTTTTAACCCATTCTAAAGATGAGGGAAGGCTGTAAAGTGTCTGAAACCCACTGAGACAAGGTCAGTGCTATGTGACAAAACTTGGCTTGAAATCAACATTGAATATTGTGAAAATATCATACATTATTATTATTATTATTGTGTAATTATATGTATGAGTTACTAGTATTACCTACATGTAATTGAATACAAGACATTACCAGCATACTCACTTAGCATTGACCTCCATTTCTACTGTCTTGTACTCCGGAACACATAAATGTTTTATATACTGCAAACCTGCATGGAACAAATTATCAATTTATTAATTTTTCCAATCATTCTACTATGTATGCTTCATGTAATGTGTTTATAGCGCCCTCAACTTAAACTTCAAGTTAACATACTAGACATATATGAAGTCAATGAAACATAAATTTCAGATCGATCAGTTGAGTTGTTTTTGAGAATTTTTTTAAAAATCCAATATGGTGTCACCGAACCACTTGACCAATCAATATTTGGAAAGTTAGGTGTACCAATTCCCATCAGACCTAATAATTGTATAGTTTGAGATGGTTATGTTCAGAGGTTTTTGCAAATAAGCAGAATGAAAAACAATAGAACTCCAAGCCTGAAATAAATATATACATATATTTAACATTTTTTAAAAATAAAAATTGTTATTGAGAAGCACATTCATACCTTTTGTTTCATTGAAATATTTCCTTTGTACCGTGGCAATATTGGTATTTTGGAAATGATCTGATATTAACTTGAACATTTTTGTCATATTCCCACTCTCACAGGCAGTATTTGGCATTATGATCTGCAAAAATAGAAATGTTCCATAATGTCAACAGTATTACCGTAGTTGCTCTATTAAAAGTGCACCTCCATAAAACAACAAAAGGGAATTCTTTGCACACTGCATCATTAAAATATGACTTATTGGGTCAAAGACAAATACCTCAGTCTGTCATTTACTTAAGTGCAGGTACTATTAATGGTGTAAATACGATATATTTATTATGCCTTATCCAGGCAGGCTTAGGCATAAGGTCACAAGGGTTCTGTTTACATGTACCAAGTAGGCATGCATGACAGATTTAGAAAAGTCAAAGCATTACTTTCCATGTAGCTACTAAAGTAGACAGCCAGCCGTGTCAACTAGACCGGATTTGCCCTGATGCCTATAGGCGCTTTAAAAATCAATGATAACAGATCTTCGACATTGATATACCATTTTCATAGTTTGTGTTGGTCAGGAATATTTAGAAATTCATGGATGCATTCAGGTGCACCACACAGTATTCAGGTCAATAATTAGCTAACCCTATCAAGTCAAAAGGCACAGTTCCAGGTCATCTTGTGCACGGAAACAACATGCCTGTAAGTTTCACATTCAGTGTTTATGTGTGTCTGTAAACATTTGTTTACAATGAAACTAAGTTGAATTTTACTTGTATTATACATAACAATTAAACCAACAAATGAATTTTTTGCACATTATTAAAATCATGACTGAATGTTTGTAAAACACTTCAAAAACAAATATTAAGTTAAATATCAAGTTAAAATTATTCACCTGTGAAACAGCATGAATGGACTGTACCACTGTTCATTGAGCAATGAGTTTGTGTTTGTTTCTTATTTGAAACTTGTTCTATACTTTTCATTACCAACAAAATGAAAACCAATGCATATTATAAACATAGTTGAACTCTGGTGACCTTGCCCTTTGTTATATAATATAATTCCTTTTATCATAGTTTGTTTCAATATAAATATGCATTGTCATAATTAATTTTGAATACAAACAAGTTTTGGGGTTGAACCAACAGTGGGGAATCAGTCTACCGAATGTCCTTAAAAGATGTAAATATCTTACAAAAACATTGGTGCCTTATTTGTTTAATTATTTTAAGGAACATAATTTCCAGCTTTATTGAAAGTAATTGAGATATTTTAGAATAAAAACAAATGTCTCATTGCAAAAAAAAAAGTGCTGCATTTAGATGTGAATAGATTCATAAAACATGCAAGATAACAGAAAATTTTAGCTGGCTTTAGTTTAAGTATTTTGTACAGGTGTCTGTCAAAAATGAATGATTCACTGAGACAAATATGAACTGCCTCATTGTGTGACTACT